TATGCTTGCAGACAGCATATGCTTGCAGATCGCATATGCTTGCAGATCGCATATGGCATATGCTTGCAGATCGCATATGGCATATGCTTGCAGATCGCATATGGCATATGCTTGCAGATAGCATATGCTTGCAGAATCGCATATGCTTGCAGATCGCATATGCTTGCAGATCGCATATGCTTGCAGATCGCATATGGCATATTTGCAGACAGCATATGCTTGCAGATCGCATACGGCATATGCTTGCAGATCGCATATGCTTGCAGACGGCATAAGCTTGCAGATCGCATATGGCATATGCTTGCAGATCGCATATCCTTGCATATTGCAGATTGCCCATGCTTGCATATGCAATATCCTTGCATATGGCGCATGCTTGCATATGGCACATGCTTGCATATTGCGCATGCTTGCATATTGCAAGCATGCTTGCATATTGCAAATGCTTGCAGATCGCATATGCATGCAGATTGCATATGCTTGCAGATTGCATATATGGTGCAGATCGCATATGCTTGCAGACTGCATCTGTTTGCAGACTGCATCTGCTTGCAGATCCATATGCTTGCAGACCGCATATGCTTGCAGATCACATATGCTTGCAGATCGCATATGGCATATGCTTGCAGATCGCATATGCTTGCAGATCACATATGCTTGCAGATAGCATATGCTTGCAGACTGCATCTCTTTGCAGATCGCATTTGCTTGCAGATCGCATTTGCTTGCAGATCGCATATGCTTGCAGACAGCATATGCTTGCAGATCGCATATGCTTGCAGATCGCATATGCTTGCAGATCGCATATGCTTGCAGATCGCATATGGCATATGCTTGCAGATCGCATACGGCATATGCTTGCAGATCGTATATGGCATATGCTTGCAGGTCGCATATGCTTGCAGATCGCATATGCTTATAGATCACAGCACAGCATAGCATAGCATAGCATAGCGCAGCAAAGCATAGCATAGCATAGCATAGCATAGCGCAGCATAGCATAGCATAGCATAACATAGCGCAGCATAGCATAGCATAGCATAGCGCAGCATAGCATAACACAGCGCAGCATAGCATAGCATATCATAGCATAGCGCAGCATATCATAGCATAGCATAGCGCAGCATAGCGTAGCATAGCATAGCATAGCATACATAGCGTAGCATAGCATAGCATAGCATAGCATATCGCATATGCTTGCAGATTGCAGATCGCCTATGCTTGCAGACCGCATAACGCATATGCTTGCAGATCGCATATCGCATATGCTTGCAGATCGCATATGGCATATGCTTGCAGATCACATATGCTTGCAGACTGCGTATCTTGCATATGCAGATGCATGCGCATATATATACAGATCGCATTTGCTTGCAGATCGCATATGCTTGCAGATCGCATATGCTTGCAGACAGCATATGGCATATGCTTGCAGATCGCATATGCTTGCAGATCGCATATGCTTGCAGATCGCATATGGCATATGCTTGCAGATCGCATACGGCATATGCTTGCAGATCGTATATGGCATATGCTTGCAGGTCGCATATGCTTGCAGATCGCATATGCTTATAGATCACAGCACAGCATAGCATAGCATAGCATAGCGCAGCAAAGCATAGCATAGCATAGCATAGCATAGCGCAGCATAGCATAGCATAGCATAACATAGCGCAGCATAGCATAGCATAGCATAGCGCAGCATAGCATAACACAGCGCAGCATAGCATAGCATATCATAGCATAGCGCAGCATATCATAGCATAGCATAGCGCAGCATAGCGTAGCATAGCATAGCATAGCATACATAGCGTAGCATAGCATAGCATAGCATAGCATATCGCATATGCTTGCAGATTGCAGATCGCCTATGCTTGCAGACCGCATAACGCATATGCTTGCAGATCGCATATCGCATATGCTTGCATATCGCATATGCTTGCAGATCGCATATGCTTGCAGATCGCATATGCTTGCAGATCGCAAATGCTTGCATTTGGCAGATGCTTGCATTTGGCATATGCTTGCAGATCGCATATGGCATATGCTTGCAGATCGCATATGCTTGCAGATCGCATATGGCACATCCTTGCAGACTGTGTATGCTTGCATAATGCAGATGCACGCGCATATATATAACATATCGCATATCGTATATTGCATATTGCATATTGCATATCGCATATTGCATATTGCATATCGCATATCGCATATTGCATATTGCATATTGCATATCGCATATTGCATATCGCATATTGCATATTGCATATCGCATATCGCATATCCCATATCGCTGCATATGGCATATCGCAAATTGCATATCGCTGCATATCGCATATCGCTGCATATCGCTGCATATTGCATATCGCATATACATATATGCATATATGCACATATATGAAACAAAAAACATAATCGCGGTAGGGATCGAACCGGCGACCTTCCGTTCTGTATGGCGCTGTCATAAGCGCGTTCGGCACGCTCCCGACCCGGAATTTTCAAAAGCTCCGGGCAGAGAACCGGACAGCAGACGGACAAGCGGACAGCGAACTCGGGATAGGCCTCCGCTCATAACATATGAGCTACGGCGACAACCGGACAGCGAACTTGGGATAGGCCTCCGCTCATAACATATGAGCTACGGCGACGAGGCGTGGTCCCTGCGGTCCCGAGGGTGCCGTAGCTCTCGTCCGGGTTCGGTGCATCCGGATTGCAAATGTTTGCGTATTGCAAATGCTTGCATATGCAATATCCTTGCATATTGCACATGCTTGCATATTGCGCATGCTTGCATATTCCAAATGCTTGCATATCGCANATGCTTGCATATTGCATATGCTTGCATGTTGCATATGCTTGCATATTGCATATGCTTGCATATTGCATATGCTTGCAGATTGCATATCCTTGCAGATTGGATATGCTTGCAGATTGCATATGCTTGCAGACTGCATCTGTGTGCAGATCGCATATGCTTGCAGATCGCATATGCTTGCAGACCGCATTTGCTTGCATATTGCATATGCTTGCAGATCGCATATGCTTGCAGATTGCATATGGTTGCAGATTGCATATGCTTGCAGATCGCATATATGGCGCATGCTTGCAGACCGCATATGCTTGCATATTGCATATGCTTGCAGATCGCATATGCTGCAGATCGCATATGGTTGCAGACTGCATCTGTTTGCAGATCGCATATGCTTGCAGATCGCATATGCTTGCAGATTGCATATGCTTGCAAATTACATATGCTTGCAAATCGCATATGCTTGCAGATCGCATATGCTTGCAGATCCCATATGCTTGCAGACAGCATATGCTTGCAGATCGCATATGCTTGCAGACAGCATATACTTGCAGAAAGCATATGCTTGCAGATCGCATATGGCATATGCTTGCAGATCGCATATACTTGCAGACAGCATATGCTTGCAGATCGCATATGCTTGCAGACGGCATATGCTTGCAGAATATGGCATATGCTTGCAGATCGCATATGGCATATGCTTGCAGATCGCATATAGGCATATGCTTGCAGATCGCATATGGCAACTATGCTTGCAGATCGCATATGGCACATGCTTGCAGATCGCATATGGCATATGCTTGCAGATCGTATATGGCATATGCTTGCAGGTCGCATATGCTTGCAGATCGCATATGCTTATAGATCACAGCACAGCATAGCATAGCATAGCATAGCGCAGCAAAGCATAGCATAGCATAGCATAGCATAGCGCAGCATAGCATAGCATAGCATAACATAGCGCAGCATAGCATAGCATAGCATAGCATAGCATAGCATAGCATAGCATAGCATAGCATAGCATAGCATAGCATACTGTAGTGCAGCATAGCATAGCGCAGCACAGCATAGCGTAGTGCAGCATAGCAAAGCATAGCGGACATATGGCGTATGCTTGCAGATCATATATGCTTGCAGATCGCATATGGCATATGCTTGCAGATCACATATGGCATATGCTTGCATATCGCATATGCTTGCAGATCGCATATGGCATATGCTTGCAGATCGCATATGGCATATGCTTGCAGATCGCATATGGCATATGCTTGCAGATCGCATATGGCATATGCTTGCAGATCGCATATGGCATATGCTTGCAGATCGCATATGCTTGCAGATCGCATATGCTTATAGATCACAGCAAAGCATAGCATAGCATAGCATAGCATAGCATAGCGCAGCATAGCATAGCGCAGCATAGCATAGCATACCCTACGAACGCGGAGGGGGGTTAAGAACGTTCTTAAGTCGTTCTTAGCCCAGCCAAATTGATAAAATTGAATAATCATTAGAACGTTCTTACACTGTTCTAAGAACGTTCTAAGAACGTTCGTATGACCTCCGTTTATCTTAAAACCGTTCTTTCAAATTCTTAAGCATTCTTCAGGGCCCAGCAGTCTTACGTATTCTCTTCCATTCTTTGGGGTGTTCTTATACATTCTTAGGCCAACTTATTGATTCTTTGTCTAAAGCATACTTAGCTGCTCTTTGGCCGGTTTTAACCGTTCTTACCATAGGTTCGCTAAGTATGGCACTCATTCTTAAGTCATATTCTCAGGAAATTCTTTTTGCTGCTTACATTCTTAAGCCTTAAAAATGTGGGATTCTTAAGGGGTGGTCATGATGAAAAAGCCATCCAGTCACATGTACCGACCTCTGCTTTCTCACCTGTACTTTTAAAGGTAAGCGCACTTGTCGTATCAGTATCTTAGGGTACTTACATTGAATTTTACATTATTAGACATTCTACGCTGGGATCGAACCTAAGACTACGATGTATTTTTGCTAAATTCTATCACTTATCCTATTCTTTTAGAAAAGACACCTCAAGATGCCAAAAGCTTTCGCAAGAAACCTATATGTATGCTATAGGTATCTTGTGCGTATACTGTGAGCTGCGCCAAGTGCCGTACACGAACATATGTGCGTGTACGACAAACAACTCAACACCTTTTCAGCAACTCAACTATCAGCCCTGGCCCCTGTACAAAAAACTGGCGTGCAGCCTGACATGGCCACATACCTGCTGCAGCCCACTGCCCAACACCATCCCTGGCTGCTGCAGCTGCATGAAAAACAAGAGGCGCCCCGAGGCCACTGCCATGTTTAGCTGAATCCAAATGGAAGCATCCTTGCTTGCCATGGAGAGGCGGGCCGACTCATGTGTTTTCTACAAGCCCCCACAAGAAGAGTTTGGGGCTACTGAAACTGTAGCAGTCGCTCACCTGGGTGGACGACTGGCTTTGCGGAAGCGTGGAATTTAGAGTCCTCGCTGAGGCAGGAAGAAGTCCAACCCAGCAACAAGCACTAGCATACATAGACCCGTACGAAACAATCTGAGATGGCGGCAGCGGAGTCTTGAACTATGAACACCAAGTAGTCGTGATACTTAAGTGCCTCACCATAGCACCCCACCCAGGTAGCTTACATCTCGGCCTACCTGCCGGAAATTCCCTACTACGTTCCTGCCATGCTAGGATACTGTCGGTGTATCCTCCGGTGGCAGGTTGGTACAGGAGGGTATCCTCCGGTGGCAGGGTGGTACAGGAGGGTACCCTCCGGTGGCAAGGTGGTACAGGAGGGTACCCTCCGGTGGCAAGGTGGTACAGGAGGGTACCCTCCAGTGGCAAGATGGTACAGGAGGGTATCCTCCGGTGGCAAGGTGGTACAGGAGGGTACCCTCCGGTGGCAGGGTGGTACAGGAGGGTATCCTCCAGTGGCAAGGTGGTACAGGAGGGTATCCTCCGGTGGCAAGGTGGTACAGGAGGGTACCCAAAGGGGAGGAAGCTTATCCCTTACGGTGTGCCTCCCATGTCCCTTGGGTGTCCCTTCCATGTGTCCCTTCCATGGGTGTCCCTTCCATGGATGTCCCTTCCATGTGGTGTCCCTTGGGTGTCTCTTCCATGTCCCTTGGGTGTCCCTTGGGTGTCTCTTTCATGTCCCTTTGATGTCTCTTCCCTGTCTTTTGGGTGTCCCTTGGGTGTCTCTTTCATGTCCCTTTGATGTCTCTTCCCTGTCTTTTGGGTGTCCCTTGGGTGTCCCTTGGCTGTCCCTTCCACATGTCCTTTGGTGTCCCTTGGGTGTCCCTTCCACATGTCCTTTGGTGTCCCTTCGGTGTCTCTTCCATGTCCCTTTGGTGTCTCTTCCGCGTGTCCCTTTGGTGTCCCTTTGGTGCCCTTGGGTATCCCTCCCGTGCCCCTTGGGTGTTCCTTGGGTGTCCCTTGCAAGGGACACCCAATTGGGTGTCCCTTTCATGTCCCTTTGGTGTCGCTTCCCTGTCTTTTGGGTGTCCCTTGGGTGTCCCTTGAGTGCCGGAGACTGAATTTACCAAAACCTTCATTGACAGCTGCACCTGGCTAATTATTAACCACCAAGCGTCCCCTTGGTGGCAGAATGCTCAGTCAGGATGCAGTGGAGGGTCGAGCACAGGATACGGATAGGAAGGAGAAGGATAGAAATGTGGACCCAGGAAGAGTTAACACCAACCCACCAAGGATGAGGATGGCAGAGGATGAGGGGATGCAGTCAGCAGGGTGTGGGATGTTAGCAAGCATTGGCTTGAGGATATGGAAAGGGGTGTAGGATGTATCCAACTGACTGGATGCATGTTCATGCATCCTGCACCTGCCAAGACTCCCCAAGAATGCAAGGATGGGCCGCCAATTTGACACCCTCCATCAGTGTACACTGATGTATATGCAGTGCGACCCACTAGATATTGATAGGGGATTTAATTATTGGCTACATTGGTGTAGCCATCGATGTAGCCGATGTATCTATGAACTCGCTAATCCATCTAACAGGTCTATACCTGTTAGATCTCGCATTATTAGATCTAAGGTCTAGACCCAGACACATGTTGATGGTTTTCATGAAATTTCATGGTATGTTCACTGTTTCACAATCACTGTGATATATTACCTATCCGGGAACTATAAGAGCTCCATCAGGCATTCATTACAGAATGTTTTCATGGCTGATGCATTCTTAATGCATACTTATATGACATACTTACATAAAACCGCTTAATCCCAGTGTAAGAATGTTTAAGAATGCACACCCGCCGCCTCCGTGTTCTTCCGACATTCTTATCGTTCTTAAGCATTCTCCTAAGTTTCTTAACCCCCATCCGCGTTTGTAGGGATAGCATAGCATAGCGCAGCATAGCATAGCGCAGAGCATAGCACAGCATAGCATAGCATAGCGCAGAGCATAGCACAGCATAGCATAACATAGCGCAGCATAGCATAGCATAGCATAACATAGCGCAGCATAGCGCAGCATAGCATAGCATAGCATAGCATAGCATAGCATAGCATAGCATAGCATAGCATAGCATAGCATAGCATAGCATAGCATAGCATAGCATAGCATAGCATAGCATAGCATAGCATAGCATAGCATAGCATAGCATAGCATAGCATAGCATAGCATAGCATAGCATAGCATAGCATAGCATAGCATAGCATAGCATAGCATAGCATAGCATAGCATAGCATAGCATAGCATAGCATAGCATAGCATAGCATAGCATAGCATAGCATAGCATAGCATAGCATAGCATAGCATAGCATAGCATAGCATAG